TCATTTATCTAATTTTAAGTCTCACACAATCATTTTGTTTGATCCTGCAGTCAGCTCTGGATCAGCAAACCTGAGCACCGGCATAGTTCTCCACAACAATCAATTTGCCTTGAAGTACAAATTTCTCATTATAGATCAGTTTGTAAAATCAAAAGTTGAAGGATGAAGTTCTTAATTTTCTTAGCAAGAACTGCTTCACTGAATCCTGTTTCATTCTTTTATTTAGTTAATTGCTTTTGTCTTAAAAATCTAATTTTCTAGATGCAGCAGCAATCAAAATGCCCAAAGAAATTACCTCCTGATACATCTTCAGAGATATCAGGCAACATACAAAGCTGAGCTTTTTAATCTTAGAACTTCTCTGCATATTTTTTCAGATGAAAATTAAATAAATACAAAGATAAAGTCATTCCCATAGCCCATGGTTCACAAGTAGTAATTAATCTTATTCCTTGAAGAATGGTGCATGTAAATTCCAGTCCTGCAAAGAGGACCTGTGGTGCCTACCTGTGGACTACTCCTGAGGGTAGCAGGACTCTAAACTGGTATTTGGGGATGGCGGATTGTGCTTGCCTTGAAGGTGAAGGGACTAGAAAATGGGAAAATTAATTTACCAGAATTTTTCCATTTTTGTCATCAGTATAAGAACATTTGCTCTCATGCCAGGAAATCTATTATATCAATCTCTAAACAACATAAACACCCTGCTCTCCTTGATGGAATCCTAGAAACAGGAATAAAAAGCAAAAATCTAGCATTCTTCAAGGGGGGTTATACAAAACTGTCAACTGTTGTTGGCTAATGCTTTATAATTTTCTTAAGTGGATACATGGGTCATATAAGTTGTTCCTTATAATCACACAGTAATGGGAAAGTATATTTTGGGTCAGATTCTACTCTCCTATGTATTCTGGTGTAAACATGTAGTGAGGCTAGAAGTTGGCCCTCTGTCAGTATGCCATGCAAGTGGCTCATGTGTTACTAATCTTCGAGTCAGATTTGCTGGTCTGGAGTGGTTTGGGCTCTCCAGAAATGTGCAGTTTGAACATGTTGCTCTGGGAAACATTCATAAAAGTTAAAGAAAAGCCAGTGAAAACTTACTCTGTCTTCTCTCCCTTTTCTCTCAATCAAATCAGTTTTTGCATGTGCTGCATTCTTCATATGCAGATTTAAACTGACAGGTAACAGGGCACCAACATAACAGGATCACAGACATTAGGCTGCAAAAAGCAAATGCACAGAAAATGTCTAAGGCAATGATCAGGCAACCTCCAAAATCTGTTTGGAATTCATGAGAGGACATTAAAAAGTCACATCATGGAAAGCCTGGACCTACAGAAAGTCTAGGCTCAAGGCTCATCAAAGATCTTTCATGCCAGTAGACTTTCACGCATCTTCATAAAAACAATGGAACAAAACTGAAGAGAGAAATGTGAAGCTGTTTTACTTGTGGTTGCATCACAGAAAGTTTATTTAACTGATAAGAAGCTTTGTGCAGATTTACTGGTACTCAGGCAGCCCATGGCACATATTGCTGCTACCTCTGGAACTGAGTGCAAAATTATTAATGTAGTAATTCATCTTTTTCCTCTTTCACTCCCCTCCTTCTTACAGTCTTTTACCATGTTGCAGAACCATGATATTCTCACTGTTTCAAGCTAAAATTTACCACTCCATGCATGGTGCACTTCATACCAGACTTCAATTACCAATTTTTAGACTCTGCTGGAAGCTCCCAAGTGAATTAAGCTAGAAACAAAAGAGGAAAACCGTGGAGAAGGACAAATTTCTGCAGGTCCCAAAGAAGTCGTCTACAGCCTTTGTAATCTACAGTCCTTCACAGCAAACTCACTGTGTTCAGCTGCCAACAGATATTTTTGCCTGCCTGCATTACGGAATTCTGCACACTATCCAGCAAAAACAGGTCTTCCTATATGCATTTTTAATTTCTTGCAGCAAAACATCCTGCTAGCAAGCAATTACTTACAAAGATGCTTTATAAATATAAATAAGAAAGTGTGTGTAACTCACTGATACATAGTAATAAAATAATCCCTAAATCACTTATTACATTATGCAAGATAAATAATTTGTCTTTTGGACATCAACAAATCTGCATTAAATTATCTTAAAAAAAACACACTCAAAAATCCCTAAAAAACCCCAAAACCTAAACAAACAAACAAACAAACAAACAAAAAAAGTAAAACCCCTAGACTGTCACAAATATTGCACAACTGAAAAAAAGCTTTGGGAAAAACATAATTAACTACTGGGAATTACTGTATGTATAAAAGAACTAGATATTTCTGAACACTGCTACATTCTTCCTAGAAGAACTCAGTTATCCACAGGAAACCAGGGATTTACTAATAGAACAGAAAATGTAATATCTATCTTTTGGCTGAATGCAATAGCAATCTTCAGGATTTAAGTGATTATTTTGGAAGAGGCTTTTAAATTTGTTTCCTATATTGTATCCCAGTGAAAAATGAAAAAACTGTCACTTTTACTTGTTCTTTGTATAATTCAGGATCCAGTTGCACACCCAGATATTTGCATAAATTTCATTCCTTCATTAAAATTCTATATATTTGTCAGTATATATCTAATATGGGCTATTCTCTATGTTATTGAAATCCTCAATTAAAGAGACTTTATTTCAAAGGGACTTTGTATTTCAAAGATACAAAGATTATCTTATCCTATAGCATTTTCTGAGAAGTAAATGGGAAGTATGTTGGGAATTGTATTTAGTTTCCAAATTTTTGATAATTATTCCTTGTGCTTTGCTGGGGCAGAAATGAGGTCTCTTTCTATGCCAAGACTCCTTGTGTGTGCCATCAGAAGGCCACAATCATGACCTGGGCCAGTGAAACCAAATTACTAACTCTACTACTTGTTGTATCAGGTTTCATTTCTCAGTTCTTCATTTGCATAAAACTGCTGATAACTGGAAAAATTTGGAATGAACCAGGTGAAGAGGAATATTGTTCCCTGGAAGGTTAAAGAAACCACATGCAGAAGTCCTTCTATTTAGGTTAGATTTTGTTCAGAAAAAAAAAAACATTCATGTTGGTTCCATGTATTAACAATTTTGGCTTAAAACTACAGGTGATGTTTCTTTCAGCTGAAGATTTCTAGCATGTAACTGAGCGGCCCTTCCCTCAGCAAGCGAGCAAGCCAGGGTATGTTTCTTCTCTTATGGTGTTCAGTGCCTACCTGTTATCCTGTAATTAGGGTATGACTGGTTACCACAGATGTTAGGGCAGGTGAAGATTCTCATCAGCCAACTTTCCTCCTTGTGTACTGACTGGATTCAGTGGACTGAGAATTCAACCTACTGTTTGTTAAGTGTGTAACTCAATATAAAGGGCTTAACAGTGCTTCATCCACAAAAATACAGGGGAAACACCTCCACTGATTTTAAAGGGACCGGAACCAAGCCCATTCCAATTCCTCTGTTCCACACACAGTATACACACAGGCACTCAAACTGTTGAATAATCACGCATGTGAGAAAGAAAACAAATGGGCCCAGACAACTGATGGAAAAATCTTAATTGAAGCAAACAACAATCAGCTAGATGCCAAGGGGAATGTTGTGCCTGACCACTCCTACATGCAAGCAAAAGCTGCTAAGCTTTGGGATAATACAGGCATGGTACCATCTACTTCCCCCCTTTTTCCTTCCTACCTCTGCTTCCTCTCTCTAAAGAAATAATCTTGCATGTCGTTTTTCCTGGACTTACCCTGCTGCACATAACCTGTGGATGATCTGCCCCATTATCTCCCTTGGCAACCCTCTGAAACTCCCTCCTGATTGGCATTACTCCTTGTGTGCTGTACAGTTCTAGAAGCCTCAGCAGAGCAGGTGTAAACTCACTGCATGCTGATAACCTCTAATACAGCAGGGTCTTATGCAGTATGTTATGCTATATGTTCCTCTAGAATGAACCAAATGGAACACACACCTGCCCTACCATTAGGATTTAAGTAAAGAGAGAAAAGCACACCTATTCATCTTCAGTTATAACAAGTTTTTCAAGTGAGAAGTTAAACCATGGATGAAAGACAAAGCAGCCATTGACACCTCAACCAACATAACTTTCTCAGTGTGCCTTTCACTTCGACAGAGTAATTTCTGAAGGAAATCTGCAGTTACATTTTGTAATCTAATGTCCAAATAATAACATCAATAGTTTTGGGGTTTGTGTGTTACTGGGCAAACTACTTCTGTACCAAAATGCAGGCAAGGAGGAAAAAGAAAGCAAATAAGCATGTGCACAACACATTGACAACACAGAAACTCTTCTGTGCAAGTAACCCTTCTGAAATGCACAACAGGTCTGCATGTCCACCAGAAAGAACCACAGGGTCATGCTACTGTTATGAACCCTTCCTTTGTAATACTCCACGTAAACTTGGCTTCCTGCTCTTAGCTGGAGCATTATATTCTCAAACAACAGTCACAAAGACTAGTCAAGTAGCAAGATGGTAAGAGGGATGATTCTGTCCATTTTTATTTTCCTCTTTCAACTCATTTGTTCTCCAGCCAGCCACGATGTTGTTTCCGGTACTGAAACTACTTTCCTCATGAAACTGTTGCTTGTCATGACTTGTTATACTCCTGTCTCCTTCCTCTACACTGTTGTAGAACTTGATTCATACTGATTGCTAAGACTGAATACACTGGGCCTTCTCATCTGCTTTGTTTATGAAGTGTAAACATGTTTAACAGAGGAGCATGTACAGGTGTGGCCTCAGAGGTACACCTGCTCACACTGTACCTCTCCCAGCTACCAAATCAGAGAATACTGCTGATCAGTATGAGCAAAGAAGTGGTGCTTGTGATTACTTCCTCTCCTATTTTCTGTTACCCACTGAAAGATGTTTATCCCCCAATAACAAAAGAAGCAATGCTTGTAATTGCTTCTTTATCTTCCGTCACCTACTGAAAGATGTTTATCCCCAATAACAGCACACAAAACAAGCAGACATCAACTTCTTCAATACAGTGGGGTTTTAAACCACCCATTGGTAACAACTGTTTCTCTTCTTAATAATACATCATTATTTATAAATTAAAAATTGACCTACATACGCCTCCTTGGAACCTGTGATGCTCAGTTACTATCAGATATCAAAGAAGAAACATGTGTCTTCAAGTATTATAGCTTCTTTTTTTTTCTTTTTTGTTTTGTTGCTGCTATTACTGATGTAGTAGTAGTACAAACTGGACCAGAAAAAAAGTTATGTTCCCTGTTTTAAAAAGAACAACATGATATAAGGCAGTCTATCAAAAAGAGCAGTCTTTTTTAATCCCCCTATGAGCTTACATGAGCTACTGTAGCAAACACGGCAGAACCACCACAAGCCAAAAGCCACACTTCTCCAAGTAACACTGAATGGCTCTCAACCCTTGCTCTTTCTGAGACCCAGCACAATGCTTCAAAGGAAAAAAAACAAACACCTGAAAACAAACAAACAAATGAAACAGAAAACAGCCCCCCACCCTCTACCCCATGACTGATTAGAGTTAATGCCCTTCTGTTGGGCACCAAGAGACTTTTCCAGTTTTACTGCCTTCTTCACTCCCAGGCACCTCTGCACACCTAAAGCAGGCTGCCCTGACATTTTCCGGGTTGGACTTTCTGAGGTTAACATTTTCCTCTCTTCAGTCTCTGCTTGTTCATTTGAGGCGTTGAGTCACATTAGCCAGAGCAACAGCAAAGGCTTGCACTGCAGAAAATGGATACTGAAAGTCCAAAATATAAGCATTGCCATCAATCCTTCCAAACTGCATCACCTGGGAAGCAGGGGAAGAGAAGGGAAGGAAAAAGAGGACAAGGTCAAAAAAAGTGATCCACAGGAAAGGAACCAGAGAAGAATAAAAGCAAAATGGTTTTGCTCCTTTGTACAAACACCTCACCTCCTGAGCTAATATGAATGGGGCTACTCACAGAATGGGGTACAAAGCCAAGGAAGAGTAACAACACTGTACTATTGTGCTGTATGGAGTATTTGACTACAATATTCAAATTTACAGAGTAAATTGAGCTTTAAAACATACTAGACTGTATACAGCATTGATGTAAGGAAATTGTCATCAACTACTGCAGCAGATATGAGTTACACCAGCAACATGCTTCATGCAGTAAAATACCATTCTCTCCCTTGGAGAGATCCAATCATCAGCCCATCAGGGAAACAGATTTTCTTTTCAAAGAAAGAAGCTTTCAGGGAAGGGGAATAACCAATCTCCTGACACTAGCACTCCATAGCTGGTAAGCTGCATGTTCTTGGCAGTTCTGTTTTCCTTTGCATAAACTTCACAAGCACATAATTGCACCAAGAATGAGGGACCATGGGAGATGTTTGAAATGTAAAGCAAGGCTAGTCAGGTAGTGTTGTTGTTCCACAGGGAACATCTTAAGTTTGGCCTATTATTGATTTTTCATTTGCCAGATCGTATTTGCTCTATAGTGAAGAACCCTGAGCTAGAATGGAGGCTGTCTGCGGAAGATCAGTCAGGCTTTGCTCCCCCACAAACAAAGCCTGCAGCAAGGTGATTTAGCACAGCTGCCCATGGGCATGTATCCAAAGCCATTTAACCAAAGAAAGGAATATAAATAGCTCTGATGACTGCCTTTCTAATGAGCTATTGTTACAGAGGAACAAAATCAAGAGACTACCAGGGGTCATGCATGTTGGATATTTAAGACATCTAACTCCCCATTTAAATCAGAGGAACTTGAGAGCCTTGATGTCTTCTAATAAATTAAAAGTGACTTGCAGTGATGGGAGAGCTGGACAATGAAATAAGTATGTGTCTCCTAAGTCTCAGTGTCCTGATGATTACTACCACTTAATAGCCTGGGTTTGGTGTAGTAACATCCCACTTGGGCCCAGAGCCTAAAATTAAACGTGGGGTTTTCTGAACTATCCACAGACCCCTCTACTCATTGGGGGGTCAGAAGCAGCTCAGGAATGCTTTGTCCTGGGAACGGTCTAGCATTAAGAACCAGAACCAGAGGCCTGGTAACCCACAGGGGAAATTTTGGCATGGAGGGAACCTAACTGCTCATCCATCACCTCTGCCTTGGCTGTCCTCTGACTGGCTAACTTTTGTGAGCATTGCAGCGTTCACTCAGATAGCTGCCATCCACAACCACTGACAGCAAACGCAGCTACCACGGGGGAGGTATGTTGTGCTTATTACAAAACCCACTTCCAGAAGTGAGAGCCAGAGGGACCAGAGGAGGCCCTTATTCCCATGTCTGACTGCAGTAAAACCAAACCTATTTTGTACATTTGCTTTACAACTGAACTTTACCTTCTGTTCCGAATCCAGACCTTTGATGGTTGCTTTTTATCAACCATATGACAAAGCTGTTCTTCACAGAGCAGCTCACACAAAAGGGAGGCACTCTCTGCATGAGAGGCAGAGCTCATTCCTGGCATGGCTTTCCCCTGCCCACTCCCCACCCTGGCCCTCGTGTACCACCCCTCCTACCTGTCGTCCTTCCAGCTCAATCTGGAAGTTTTTTGCTGACTCCTGGGTCACCCGCCCTCCGAAGTCCAGCTGGTAGACTTGTGTCGCCTCATTCCAGAGCGGCTGCTTGTTGGCCATCACATATACAAAGCCCTGGCTCCCCAGCCTGCCATCCTCCTTCTCGCTGGCCTTCCGGCACTTGAATTCATCCAGTTCACTGGCTGTCCTCAAACTCCTTTTGGTTTTCCAACCTTTTTTGCTGCCCTGGCTCTGGTTCATCAGTTCATCCCCACTGATAAAAAGCTCTGGCTCACTCTCTGAACTGTCCTGAAACTCATTTGTCTTATTTAGCTTCTTGGATTTCAGCTGGTCTTTCTGGCTCTTAACCTTCTTCTTCTCCCTCCCCAGCCGAGGGCTGGATATTAGCGAATTGAAGTCAGTTAGCGTCCTTGCCTCCTTTTTGACCTTGCCCTCAGTGATAGCCTGCACGTTTCCTTCCTCAGCTCGACTGTCCAAGCGCTTCCGGCTCTTCTTGCCAAATTTATCTGTCCTTTGAGGAACGGGGCTTTCTGTCAAGGAGAGCACTTCCTGGAAGGTGTCTGCCGTCTCCACCATCACCTCTGTGCCCACATGGCCCTGCAGCTCTGCCGGCGGGGGAGACATCACCGGCTTCTCCACCACAAGGAGTGGTTTGGGGGGCAAGGTGCCCTGGGGGTTCTGTACGGGTGGGCAGGTGCTGTAGGAACTCCATGGGTGCAAGGCGATTGGTGGTAGCTGTAAACTAGAGCAGGCGCTACTTCCCGGGTACATGGGTGGCAAAGGGCAATAGGAGAGGTTGGATGGATAACCTGGCTGAAGCACAACTGTGGGCTCCTGCTGTGCAAACTGTGTTGGAGCCAGAGCTTCTTTGGGGGAGCAGGGAGGCTGCATTCCCTGCAGGGGAGGGGCACTGTAGTTTCCTGGGTAAGGTACTCCAACCCCATAACTCGTCTGGAAAGTGGCAGTGGGACTGGTTGGAGATTTGGGGGAAACAAATGGTACTCGAGACATATCTAGATGTTGAGTTTGACCAATAATAAGAGGAGTCGGTTTTAGAGGGTTGGGCACTGAGCTCTGAGATGTCCTTTCCTGAGGAACCCATATCTCTTCACTCACCATAGGGTCCCACTGGTATGGCGGTGGCCGTTTTACATTGAGAGCAGCCTCCGCCAGGGACATGGGTGCGTGCCGTATTGATTTCTCCACTGGGCAGTGCTGAGATAGAGCCTCATCCTCCGTGAAGGCGGAGTTGATATAATCCGCTCGGTCACGGGAATTATCAGGCGGGCTCAGCAAGCTGTAGGAGGACTGGGAGGCCAGAGGCGAAGTACTGACAGAGTGAGCCATGACGGAGCTGTGCTGGGAGGCACTGCCAGTGCTCAGATCAGATCTCATGCCACCAATACTGGAAGTGCTGCTACTAGCGTTGGCACTAGTGATGCTGCCCACACCACCAGCGCTTGGGTTGCTGCCGCCACCACTGCCGTTGTTGCTGCTGCACTGGCTGCAGGTGTACAAGGCGGTGGGTACTCTTTGCTGGTACTGCGCAGTCATGACATTGCTCTTGGCTTTCGGGGGAAGTTGCAAGGTGGCTCTCTGACCATCCACCAGCTGAGCCATTTTCAAGGCTGCCTCTCTGCTGTTCCTCCGCAGAGTCGCGTGAATGATACTGCTGTCCAGCCTCTGCGCGATGCTTCTGCCCTGGGCCAGCTGGCTGGCGATGTCAGGGTAGGGTGGCGGGTCCCCGGTTGGGATGGAGTAACGGGGGACCGTGAGTCGGTTCAGGGTGGCGCTGGTGCAGGGCTGCTGCATCTTCTTCTCTGCAGCGGTGATACGCAAGGTGGCAGAGCTGCCGGGCCCCGGCAGGGTGTATGTGCTCTGTGCACAGAGCACCCTGGTGCGAGGCCGGCACACCTCCTCCACGTTCCCGCTGCTGTCAAACGTGGTTATCCGCTCATACCCCAGTGGTGTCTGGTAGTGCCCTGCCGGGTAAAGGGAGAACTCCCCCTTTTTCAGGCAGAGGTCGAGGGGTGGCTGTGGGGGGCCAGGGGGTGGTGGCAGGGCAGCAGGAGGTGCAGTGGGGATGGTGCCAGGGTAGGGTGGCGGCGGGTTCATCTTGTTCAGCTGCAGCTCCGGAGTGGCGCCGAAGATGACGGCGTCCCCTTCCACCAGCTGTGGCGCCGGCCGTGGGGCCTTGGCCTTGGGCAGGGGCTCGTGCTCACGGTCGCCATGGTCCCGCAGGTCGGCCAGGGTGATGGCGGGGGGCGCGGGAGGTGGCGGGGCGAGAGCCGGGGGCACAGGGGCAGCGCGGCCCATATCGCCCCCTGCCCCGGGCCCGGGGAAACGACCCGGAGGCCCTGGGAATGGCCCCGCCCCCTCGCCCCCCGCTTCCGCCGGCGGATTGGCCAACACATCCAGCTGCACGTTCTGATTGGCCAGCAGCGACTGGACGAGGCCGATGCTCTGGGTGGGCGACATGGCCTGTGCCGAGCTGTGGATGGGGGCGATGGGGATGTTGACGGTGCACGGCGGGCTGCTGGCAGGGGCGCCCGGCGCGCCCGGCACTGTAACGACAGACACAGCCCATCACCCGCTGCACCGCGTCCCATGGACCCCCCGGGGACCCTCGCATGCGATGATGGCAAGGCCTGTGCTGTGGGGTTGCCTGAAGCGATGAGGGGCCACAAGCCTGTGCTGGCTGCAGCGGATGGGCAAGTGGTTGGCTAACAGGCACTAAAACAGTGAAGCCTCCTCAAGCAGTGTTTCGTATATTTTTGGGTTTTCTTCAGCACTTGTGGAAGACATGAGGGCTCCTAAAAAATGTTTAATGGAAAATTTCATGGCAGCATTGACATAAAATTTGGAAACGGGAGGTTTCTTTTGTACTTTGTCATTACACTTTACCTTTGACTTCTTAAACTACTAGCTACCTTTACATAACTTGCTTAAGCAACTCTGCTGCATTTGGATGGCCTTCTATCAGATCCCCGAGTCAATGGATCAGAGCTTAGTTTGAACAAATCAGCCAGCCAGTCTCCACTGACTCCCACTGCACAATATCTATTTGTAATAGCTGGTGATCAACTTCAAAGTAACTTCTTGGGAGTGATGATTCAGAGGTGAAGTTCAGAGCTTGCTTTCAGTCTACATTATGATTCTCACAGACTTTCAGAATTTGAATTACCACTGACTCATCATCTAATTTTAACTACTTTTGCCCAAATCAGTATGTTTTGCTGAATCAAGACTCACTAGTTTTCAGGGAGAGTCTTTTGATAGTAAATACATCAACAAAACATAGCAGAGATAATCCACTCAGAAACCCATGGCTGCCCCTAGTCCTAGTACCTTCTTCTCTGCCCCTAGCCCTAGGATCACCAACACTGACTTCTGACTTCCTCTAGGGCTCCTGCTTCCTAATGGTAAGGCACAGAAAAGCCCCTACTGGCCCAGGATGACTCCCCCTGGAGCCATTCAGGTGCCAGTGTGCCGTGCTGAACCCAGCTTTGGGAGGAAGGTGAAGTGATGGTCTTCAAGCCTATCCTGATCTGACAACAGTTACGGGCTCCAACATGGACATTTGTTGTCGTGAAAAGCAGAGAGCAGTCAGGAAAAGTGTTTTTGAGTATAGTAGGTGACAAAGCAACCAGTAACGCAAAAAGAGGGAAGCTAAAACAAATAAGAGAGAGGAATATAACAGAATGAAATGCAGACAAAATTTATAAAAGTTCCTGAAAGAAGATTTGTAAGGAAAGTATGTGAGGAAATAGATGGGAAGCCAGAACAGAAATGTAAGGGGAAGATGTGAGAAAATATATGGGAAGCCAAAAAGATTCAAGAAGTGGGGGCTGTAGTCAGGGCAACTTCAGCATAAACATTTGGACTGGCTGCAATCAGGAATGTGAAAAGAAGCATATGTATGTAGGAAAAGTTTTCCACATGTGGTGCTGGGAACAAAGGACAGGGAGGTAAGAAGCAATTCTGATGAGGTTAAGCAAAAGCATGGAGCTATCTCAACTGCTTGCAATTCCTTCTGCAAAAAGTGGCGAGAGTGATTGCAACAGAGGCTACCACTGAAAAGCTGGAGCAGGACAGGGAAATGAGGACACTGGACCCAAGTACAGGTGCAGAAGGAAAGATAAGAAGGAACAGAATACAATGAGGAGAAACACTAAACAGTATATTAAGCCCCCTAATAATCTTGCAGATTCTTTATGTATACAACCCACAGAAAATGGCAAGCGAGTTGCATCATCAGGTTTATGAGAAGAAAAGAGATTAGGCTCCAGGATCCTACAGTCATATCTAAGATCATTTACATGTGCCAGACTGTGTGCAGACCCCAAATTTGCAAGACCAGATCAGGCAAGAGATCCATTATTCAGGACTCTTCCGGTTGCTGCCAGTTCCTGATTAATTTCTAATTAAAATTCTAGTCATCTACCTATGCCCTATAATTACATTTTCAATGGCATTAGGCTTTTATCAGCAACAGTCTGAATGTAGTAGGTGTACAGCTAGGTCTGTGGCTAATTTTTATGGTAGTTCTGTTCATTCCTTTAGAAGAAGACTGACAGCTAAACTTAATTGACCCTAAGGCAGCGTGGCTCTGTGCCTGGCTGGCAGGCAACGCTTTCATCCTGATGCCTTCAGGTTAGCAATTTATCCACCAGAGCTTGAGGTTTAGTTGTTAGCTTGGTTTGAGCAACCCACAATGTTGCTGTCATGGGTATTAAGTGCCTTGTCAAACAAAACCTCATTCATTGTGGTGTTGCTTAATATCCCACAGTGTTTAAATCCAATGTTATTTGGTTTTTATTTTTTAATTTATTTGTTTGCATAATCTGCAAGTTAAATCAATTCACTCTCCATTTGCCTTGCCAAATCTTTACTGACTACATTAAGAGTACCTCACTATGAACAATCCATTTCCCAAGAGCAGCTTTGTACAACGGTTTGTTTTTATCTAATATATAATCATTATTTACACTGCAATATTTTTTTCCCATTAATGTATGACACTTTTTTCCTTTAGATGCAGGCTTTAAGAAAGGATATCCACAAAAATGTTTCTGGAGACTTAGGCAGCCTCCATTTGTTAAGTCACAAATCAATTTTCAGAAAAAAAGTAGAAAGAAAAAAGTGGACAAGAAGAGGAAGGCTGTTACTGAGGACAGAGTAGGATGATTCTTTTACCAGCCTTCTCAAACGGCTGTAACAAAGCTCTCTAACTATATGCCTATATCTGGTGTTCATCAGCCTGCAATTCTGAGTACCATTTCATCTCTTTTAATAATATAAAAGGAACTGATATTGAAGATCTAATCCAATTTTCAGGAAGGGATATGAAAACTTGGTATTAACTTCTTTTTTTTTTCTATTTTTCTATTACTTTCTGAAACCTGTAACCTGGCAACAGAAATCCCTCACTGATGTGAAAATTCTGAAAATATATTAATTTATCTTCTTTTTTTATTATTTGTTAATTTTATTGGCATGATTTTTTTTTTTTAATTGGAGCAGCTCCTGAGTACTTCCAGTTCTTTTACCTGCCACATTCATATTACCTGCACCCAAGCCTTCCCTGCACTGCTTGAGTCTTCTGCTACCTCACATCCCAGTGAAATGAGAAATTCTTCCTGATCCCCCTTGTTTATAGACTATGTCACTATTTTAGCCTCTCTGTAAGACTTGTTATTGATAAAAATCCAAATGGGTGTTTATCACTTCTCAAAGGGTGGCTGAGTTTTATGGGAACCTGCCCTCCAAGCCAAGCTCCTATCTGTACTTTGCTGCCATCAGGTCATGAGAACGACCTTTTTGGCTTCCAACATGTTATAGTTCTGCCCTCCAAAGGTGCAGAATGCAAGGAGAATTCTATGGAATAATGGTCTCTGGAGAATACTTAGTGAACTAAAGAGAAAATGATCATTTTTCCAATGAACTTGAAACTTAGCAGCTCCATATGGATTACATTTTCCAATGTTTTAGAAAACAGTGTCCATAATACATACTAGCCTTATTCTAATTCAGTTTTACAGCACCACCACCTATCAGACTCAGGGATTTTGATTTGTGTGTTTACCAGAGGGGACTAGCGACACAAGTGATCTGCCCTCCATCTAGCTTAACCCATAACATGGTAGACCTCCAGCTCCTCCTTACCTGGTAAATCATCTTCGTCTTCACTGAAAACATTTGGATTAAAGACAGGCAGGTTAATGTAGTCCATTGAAATCTTCCGCACTTCTGGGAGATATATTGTCATCTGCCGGGGCTGCAGATGCAGCAAACTGGTTTTATATATTACTGGAGAGACAATTTAACAAGAAATAAATAATCTGCTACATAAAGAGCATCTAAAGATAAGAAAGAATCAATTCAAACCAGAGAGAAGGGCTATGACTATTGTTATTTACTGTATTAATGAAAAAATGCAAGTATGGGCCACTCATAGCTGAATCACTATGCAACACTTTGCATAAACAGAGTTGAAAGATATTGTTACTTTCTGCTATTTCTCTTTAAACAAAAGCGACATTTCTGTAGTTAAATAGTATGTAGAAATAATGAATTATGTCATCTTGTATTCACATTTATTTTTTATGGAAGGAAGATAATTTTTCCATTCTACTTTTGGAACTCTTCACCAAAGGATGTTACTGAATTGTATGAGTTTAGTGGAAAACTGGAAAGCTCTCAGGAAGCAAAATCTGTTGAGGGTTACTACATACAAAAGAACTCCTCCTGGGTTAGGAACTCCCTGGGACCCTAATGACTGGAGACAGGGAGAATATTTGAAGGAAGTGTCACTATACACTTACTCTACACTTATATCCTTCTCTACCTATCTGTCACTGAATGAGAAAATCAGAATGACCTCTCGTCTGACCCAGTAGGGTCATTCTTACACTATCTTTTGACAATCATTGCAAATGCAGATGTCAAAAAGTCATATATTACTTGGGAAAAAAAAACCCAACAAGTAGCTGGAATAAACCTGAGGGTTTCCACAACATTTCATTATGAGGAAGGTGCCACGGCCCTTCAGTAGTAGCACTGGTTGTCCCCAGGATGACAAGATCCAGAGAAGACAACCTCTGCCCAGAGGCTGGGCCAGAGAAAGTCCTCTCCCCAGCAGTTTGGAGTCCATCTCTTGTCTGATAGTAGTCAATATAGCCACAAAAGATATCTATTTAAGTAATTCTGCATCAAGGGCATCATTATGTAGTCCTGATCTAACTATATAATGAAACACAGGAAAAAAAAAGTTTTCTGAAGAGTTCACAGGACTCCTATACTTGCATTAATATTTCAATTCAGAGCTCACTTCTACTAGTATGCTGCTCTTTACTTAGCCTTATTCCTTCAAAAGGACTATCTAGGTAGAACTGGCCTACACAGAAAAAGATAAGGAGCACAGACAAATACTACTTTTAATGAAGGCTACCAATTTATTGATGCTCCACAAAGAGAACCATACGACAAGGTTATGCACTGACTTGAAGAATCTTGAGCATGATGCTGTAATAACTTTTTAAGCATTACTTTGGTATAGTTAGTAGCCAAGTGACCATAAAAGTCTGACTTTTAAAAATATTTCTATTACAGTAGCTTAAAACCTGTGAGTTTTATTATAGTCTTCTTGCAAAAATGTTCTTTAGGGTTTTTAAAATAAACTGTAAAAATAAAGGTCTTGACTGTAGATTAATATTTTTGTTACAACTAAGACTTAATATTTTATTGGTCATCTCGTTGTATGTATAGATTTTAACCTCTTTTAGTTACAGTGAATTTTATAAAAACTAACTGCTACTGTCCATAGAAAATAAATGCTTTGTTACAGAAGCCTTCCAATCACTTGAAAAGAATCAAATGGCATTAAGTTTGTTGCATGTTAGAAGGAGTTTGACATGCAAAAAAATCAATAGAGTTTACTTTTACCTGCACCAAGGTTAGTTGGTAGGAAAGCAGCCAAACCCACGATTTTAAATTTGGTTCCCCAGATATTAGATGTGACCTGAGCAAGGTAGTTGTGCTGCAAAGCAAAACAAGACCATTTTACCTAATAAAATCTGTATTGAGCTCTAATAAGAAACTGCACAGCAATCAGGCTATTGCAAGTGATAATACAATTTCAGCTCCTTTTTATTTTACTGAAACATCCTAATGTGCTTATGTAGCAACTCTTATACCCAGTCATTAAGAAGTCTCATTTTGATTATCTGAACACCATCAGATATTGTGTATACAACAGCCACATTGGCTGGTAAAAGTTATTGAAGGACTGAACAACATGATGGCAGCTTAGTGAGAATAGGCCTGTTGTCAGGCTTCTCCTGCACAAGAGCATGGCTATTCTGTAAATATACCCTGCCCTCTGCTTCTGTGCTTATGAATCACTTTATAGAAAAATAAATAAGACAGAAATTCATTACTCAGAAAGACAAACATATTTTTACTGGAGTTTTCAAAGCAGCTTCCCAAAACACTGCTTCAATGGTGATCAAATTATGGGTCTTAAAGATCAAGAGATTTTCTCAAAGGCCAAGAGTTACACTGTCAGTAGGAGTTAGATCACGCCAAGAGCAGGATCTAAGCCTCTGGTCTCCTGTCCTATCGAAAGGACTTTTAGTCCTACCTACCACTGCTGTGTAACTGATCTAGACTGTTTCAATGTAAAGGAAGAAGTGAAATGATAGTGCAGAAAAAAAAACAAACATCTGAAATTAAACAAAACAAAATGAAAAGAATGTTGGCTGGCATTAATAAAATACGTAACCTTGACAGTTCTACAACCTGCTAAGTTTCATTTACCCACAGGACACAAACACCATGAAAAGCACAAAGCACTAATTCCTTGCCTTCCTTCCAATTAAGGCCATTACATGTTAATTATCAAACAGAGAACATGTGGCCCTCTGAAGCAAGCACTTGCTTATAACTGCAATCCCTAACAAAGCAGAGAACTGTGGTAGCATTAAGATAACTCTGAGAAACTGATGAAGCATTTTTACATACACCTTCAAAGAGCCAGCAACATCACCTAGAATAAAACCTCTCACATGGACTCACACTGACAGAAGGCAAAGGTAGCAGGAATTACCAGACAACACTTGATATTCCATTGACTCTTTCAAACATTAATATTGAACTGGAAGATGCAATTCTCTAGTTGCTCCATCTAGCTACTGTAATTAAATGAAAAGTTTTCATTGGTGATCACTGGATCGATATCACAACATGCAGCCTCTGGAAGGAGATGCATTTGGGCTCAGGTGTAGTAACAATGTGCACAATACCTGAGTAATATCTTCTAAAGGAAACTCTCTTCGGGTTAGGCTTGGTGAACCAATAGAAGGTTTCCTTATTGGCATCCTTGGTGATCTTGATATCTCCTGCGCAGCTCGTGACATCTTTGGAGATTTGCGAGCCTCTATGTTGATTCTGCAGATAAAGCAATAATTGGAATCATCAACAGGCATGGAAAAATGCACAAAATTCATGTCTTTCAATGTAAGGATGTAATGAAGACAACTGGTATGGTGTCCTCTAAGTGACTAATGAAGTCTTTAGAGTCTACAGGATGGACAGTTACAGGTCAAATGTAAAGATATATGAGAACTGACACACTTGCAGTAACTCAGACTTGGATACTGTCTGATTCATTTAACAAAGCTTACAGCAGTTCTGTGAGATACAATATACCCTCTACTAATCCATAAAAGGTGTAGGGCTGACTTATTTCAGCTATGAAGACTTTGAGCAATGTCTCAAGAAATGAAAACAAGACACCTGAACTGGCAGATCTTCACATCAGTAGAGCAAAGCAAGGGTCCACAAACTTTGTCACTGATCTTAGAATCACAGGGTCATAGAATAGTTAGGGTTGGAAAGGACCTTAAGATCATCTAGTTCCAACCCCCCTGCAATGGGCAGAGACACCTCACACTAAACCATGCCACCCAAGGCTCTGTCCAACCTGGCCTTGAACACCATCAGGAGTGGACCTTTCACAACTTCCCTGGGCAACCTATTCCACTGCCTCACCACCCTAACAGGAAAGAATTTCCTCCTTATCTCCAATCTAAACTTCCCCTCTTTAAGTTTTAACCCGTTACCCCTTGTCCTGTCACTGCAGTCCCTAATGAAGAGTCCCTCTCCAGCACCCCTATAGGCCCCCTTCAGATAATGGAAGGCTGCTATGAGGTCTCCACGCAGCCTTCTCTTCTCCAGGCTGAACAGCCCCAACTTTCTCAGCCTATCTTCATATGGGAGGTGCTCCAGTCCCCTGATCATCCTCATGGCCCTTCTCTGGACTTGTTCCAACAGTTCCATGTCCTTTTTATGTTGAGGACACCAGAACTGCACACAATACTCCAGGTGAGGTCTCACAAGAGCAGAGTAGAGGGGCAGGATCACCTCTTTCGACCTGCTGGTCACGCTCCTCTTGATGCAGCCCAGGATACGGTTGGCTTTCTGGGCTGTGAGTGCACACTGCAGCCAGCTCATGTTCATTTTCTCATCGACCAACACCCCCAAGTCCTTCTCTGCAGGGCTGCTCTGAATCCCTTCTCTGCCCAACCTGTAGCTGTGCCTGGGATTGCTCCAACCCAGGTGTAGGACCTTGCACTTGGCATGGTTAAACTTCATGAGGTTGGCATCAGCCCACCTCACAAGTGTGTCAAGGTCCCTCTGGATGGCATTCCTTCCCTCCAGCGTATCAACCGAATCACACAGCTTGGTGTCATCGGCAAACTTGCTGAGGGCGCACTCAATCCCACTGTCCATGTCACCAACAAAGATGTTGAACAAGACCGGTCCCAACACCGATCCCTGAGGGACACCACTCGTTACTGGTCTCCAGCTGGACATTGAGCCATTGACCACAACTCTGCGTGCAGCCATCCACCCAGTTCTTTATCCACCGAGTGGTCCACCTATCAAATTGATGTCGCTCCAATTCAGAGCCAAACTTTAAAATTTGGAGACAAACTCTAAGCCAAATTTAGAGACAAACTCTAAGCCAAAAGTTATTCCTATCTCCCACTACAAAAGGTGGGTCATGAATAAGAGATTAAGCACCTGAAACAACTGACTGGTAGGAAAAACAGCAAACGAAAGTTAGATTTCAAAAGTACACTCTTAAGAAAATCAAGGATGCAATATAGTTGTTTTTCCTGAGCTATTACAGTTTTAGCTCAGGAACTGATGTTTTTTTTGTCAAGTACTACTACTAAACTTTGGTGTGTTCATATATAAAGGGATGCATTTGCTTTGCCTCATACTAGGGCAAGCTCATAATGTAAGGTCTTTGGAAAAGCATCAGTTGCAGCTAGAAGGCATCAGGGCCTCAATCCCATAATGTGAAGCTGGTAAATAAATGTCAGTGATAAGCATCAGACATCAGTGAGGCTCTGTGCTGGTGGAGGATTCTGTCTATGCACATAATGAAGAGCCAGCAGGAAAAGAACCAGATGAATCAAGAGCCTAGAAGCTTGTTTTGCATATTGTTACAGAACCTTGTCAACCCAGTGTTTAGGAGGATCTGGTTGCAGAGGCTCCCTTGCAAGGTCACCAAAGCAGCAGTGCCGTCTATGCCAGGATCTATGCTACCTATGCATAGATCTGAATTTCAAAATACCCCATAGAAAATGAAGGGTTTACCTAGACTAAGCACTGAAGAGGTAAAAACACAGACTGTTTGAAAGACAAAATACATTCCATCGTGGCAAAAGTTCACATGTGGCAGAGGCAGAGGTGGAAGAGTTTATAAAATCTTTCTTTAAGACTGAGAAGTTATGACCCACCACCTTTTGCCCCAGAACCTTCCCCACAGACCACCTGAACACCAGTTTCTTGAGATCACCCCAGAACTGCACTCTGTAGAGAACCTCACTCCTTCAGAGGATGACTTCTATCTGCTTGAAGGAGTTTGCTTTTAATTTTATGAGGTGTCAAGACAATGTTAAAAAAAAAAAAAAAAAGGAAAAAAGAAGAAGAAATATCCAAGAAATTATTACCTGGGGAGTTTGGGTGATTTGCTAGCTCGACTGATTTTGGGAGATTTCTTTGCTGCCCAGTCATCACTCAGTTCGATATCGCTGGAGTCAGAGCAGTTGCAGCTGTCAATCACAGTGGAAATCAAGCTGTTTCCATAGATTTCATCTATCAAGACAGGCCCCAGAAAATGTAAGTGGTGCTTCAGAAAACTGATATCAATTGCAACCATCTGCCATTAGAAGCATAAATCCAATCCAGAGGCAGCAGTTGAGATAAAATCATGCAGAGAAAAATGAACCATTCTTCACCCTGCCTAGTATAAATTCCAAATTCCCGATGATTTGAACCTGAGTGAACATGATTCAGAAGGGTGAATTTCAACTCAAAACTGATATTAAAGAATATTTTCTGCTCATTATCAATCTGTTCCCCACTGTTCAAAATAGAAGTTCCCTTTTGTAGAGCAGAAGAGACAATGGTATAATTTCAGAGGCTTGAGCCCAGGTCATGCTAAGATTTTCTTTAACTATCGAGGATTTAATATCTAAGTCTTTCTACATCATTTTTTTACACAGAGCAACAACTCAGCTATACCTGCTTTTCCATCTGTTTTAGGATCCATGATGACAAACTCCGGCCGCAACTTGCTAATGCGACGTCCCTTCAGTATAGGCACCAGTCCCCCCAGGTATTCCAGGTACAGAGTATAACATGGACCGCCAACCTCTGGGTCATCTTCTGTCCGCTTCATCGTGCAGTGAAGCCGTTCATTACCAGCTGTTGGGTAGCTGACAAAATCTCTCATGTTGTTTGGGTCTGGGATAGGAGGCTTAGTTAAATGAAGGAAAGAAAGAGAAAGTTTCCTATAGGTTATTGTGTTTTTTTTCTCCTGTGGTGACTTAATCCCAACACAACTAACTGAATATGAACCCAACTCTAACTTGGCAGTTCAAAATTAGTACAGGTTACTGCATGAGTTATGCAGGACCCACATGCAAGACAGAGTAGCTGTGTATTATTTAGTTAGATCAAAAGCAGCTGTACACAGAAAACTGGAACTAGTTACATGAAAAAGGAAGGTTGGACCTATGATTAGATCACTGAATTAGACAACAAACGTGTCTTCCAGCCTCAGCTTCTCCTTTTTAACTTGGGTAATATGGTCAAGCCTAAGTCTCAGAATATCTTGTCTCTTGGTGGTCCTCCAAGTGAACTTGGCCACTCAGGTTCCCATTCCTGGTTAGCACCAGTACATGCTAAGCCACTAAGCTACAATGATGTCAGCTGTGGAAGAAGCTTGTACTTCTTGTACCACTTCCAAGCACATGACCCATCTTTGCTGAGGGCCTATTTGTGTGCAACATGAAGAAATATGAATACAAAGCTCAGGGTGGGTTACTTTGCCCTGCTTGCGCACACGCTGTATTAATCCATAAAAAGCTCAGTCCTAAAGCAGTAGATTGCTTTTGTATAATGTAGTATAAAATAGTGTATAAATAATTATAATGCGTATAAAATAGTATTAATGTATATAAGTCAACACAGTTTCTTTCAAAATGCTAGTACAAAGAAAAAAAGGAGGGGATATAGGCTGAGGAGTGATCTGTGATGTAGTGCTCAAGCTGGAGGTGGAAGAGGAATGCATTCAGGGAAGACGGTGCCCTTTCAGGCACTGGAGGCACAGCTGACAATGTTGGTGGGAGTATGTGCCTGGGGGAAAGCCAGGGAAAGTATGGATCAGTGTTGAGGAGGCTCCAGAAACACCCATGAAACAGCAAGGAGGGGCACGTGGCTTCTGGGAACCCTGCATCAGTCTCTCAGCTATGCAGCCCCCCTCTAGGAGCTGACAGAAGGGTTAGTGGCAAGTACATTCTGCTGTACTGCCTCTGAGCGATGTCATGGCTCCCAGCCTTGCTACAGCCAACAGCTGCCTCTGTCCCATCCTGTCCCATCCCATCCCATCCCATCCCACCCCATCTTATCCCATCCCATCCCATCCCATCTCATCTCCTCCCCAACACCCAAGCAAGCATCACTGAAATTCTAGAGAGCTTCAGGGGTGGCTCTGGGACAACATGGAAAGCATCCTGGGGAGAAATAGGCATGCTAGAAAGAACTGAGAACCACTGGTGTGTTAAATGTTCTGCATTTCATTTGAAGATCGAGGAGTTACGGTTACAGCAAGGCATTTATTCTTCTCTGGCAAATGAAATGTTTCACAGTTGCACAAATTGCCCTCATTAGCAGTACCCAAATGGAACTGTGCTGCATCATTATTTTACAAGCATAATTTATTCTCATTTTAGCTGGGCCAACTCCACTGATTTCAAATTAGTTATTCTAGCTCTGCGTTGTTTTAACAAGGATCTGAAACTAGCTCAGGAGAATGCTATTAACACATATACAGAAAATACCTAACACAAAAATGCATGTTTGAATGTAGGGCATTTACTATCTAATGCCCTAGTTTATAGGCTGTGATAAAGAGTTCAGAAATCCTGAGATATGACTGCAGGCAAAACCATGAAACAAAGGGGCTGAGCAGATGGCTCTGCTTGTGGTACAGGAAAAAGCATAATATCCAGTTCATTTACCACAACACTGTTGGAACAGTAAGGTTAGCAGAGCTCCGGGCAGCCACAGGTCTTAAAAGTGTGACTTTCCTGGCAAAATAAGGACTCATGTAATAGGTAGGAAGGCAACAGTTTTACAGCTCTGAATCTCTCCTGTGACTGTGACACAGTCTTATCAACAGTGTGAGCTGCTTCAGAAGTTTTTGTGTCACCAGCAAATTTTACCCTTGGGATCTCCTTGAACAGGCCATCCCCATGGAATAAAGTAGATCAGCATGTGTGAGCCTTCTCTTGAGATTTTAATAGGCACCAAATAGATTAGTGGGCTCTTGAAGAGGACAGGAATGACCCTTAATCAAGCTTTTAAAATGGTAATTACGGTAAATGTAATATCTTATCATTTAGCCACTGCCACTTAGTAGCACCATGGGAGGGAAATCAAGCAACCCTTTCCTCTTCCTCACACACACACATTTCTTTCCTTTTACCTTGATTGTTGGTATAAAGGCAGTGGTGAGGTACGAGCAGAGCCGAGGGGGCAGGGTCAGTTTGCTGATATCCTTGTCATCCCGCAGGCAGCTAGCAATGGTCTGCTGGCACAGCAGCTGCAGGCTGGAGACCCTGTGCTCCACTCTGACAACATACAATGCAGGTCCGGAAGCCATCAGCAGGCGCGAATCTCTGTGACCCCAACAGATGGAGATGATGGGACGCTGTGTGGAAAGGAAAAGGACATCACTTTAAAAGAGCCTGTACTTGCTTAGAGATAGTTGCACAGCAAGTGACCACATGAATTCAACACCAGCCACATCACCCCAAGTCTTACAGAAACTTAAAAATGCATACAATTGCCCCAAAAAAGGGAGAAGGATGTAAACACCTGAAATTACCAATATCAGTGGTTGATGTTTATACAAGGCTTTTTACTCGCAAGGCTTAAAGCCCTTTACACAAGGAATTGTCTATCAAATTCATTGGAACAGGTTGTTCAGAGAAGCTGTGGCTGCCCCACCCTTGGCAGTTTTCAAGGCCAGGTTGGACGGGGCTATGAGCAACCTGGTCTAGTGGAAGGTGTCCCTGTCCATGGCAGGTGGGTTGGAACCAGATGAGCTTTAAGGTCCCTTTCAACCTAACCACTATATGATTCTATTATAAGTGACTTTCAAGTCACACAATGTTAAAAAGCAGAATCTTTTGATGCCATATCCAGATGACTTTTTCAGTCATCTAATCAATCCTCATCCATTGGTAATGGCCCACATTTTACAACTGAAAAGTTAAATTGTATACCCAGAGACATTTAGTAAACTACTGGACAAAATACAGACAGCTTTCTTGTCTTACACTGAGACTTCTGCTGCACAGTATCTCTTCTGAAGTATTCCCAGAGGAAGTGAACTGTGGAAAAGCACCAGGAACAAAAGAGAGAATGGCCTTTTGTCTTTCGCTTGCTACACTCAGAAATGTCTAAATTCATGACAGTAAAACCAGTCAGGAGCAACTGGTACTAAGTGTCAGAACATGGAGCAGAATTAACAATAAACAACTCAAATGCTGTTCTGAACATTATTCCCTGCTGCATGCACATCAAGAGTTCATGTGAGGATACTGAGCTGTGCTTGCAAGGAGCTCTTTAACCTCTTCTAAACCCCATCTTTTTCATGTAAAGCACCAGTCTGTTGTGACCTCCTACAGCCCTATCACTATTACTTTTGCCCTTCATAAGTGTTAGCTGCATCCACCTCTCATCTCTTGCTTTCTCTTACAAAGCATCTGTATTTGCATATATACACACAAAGTGGATGGAATTTCAATCCCATAACTGCTATCTCTATACAAATAACACAGAATAAAGAAACTCTCATGTCATGAAGAATACTGTGCAGCAGGTTGTTATCAGTAAACTACAAAAGGTTTGCTCTTCCTGTGGAGGGCTCTCTCCTTTTCACAATCCATGACACTCAAAATCTTAACCAAACATGTTTTTAATCTGAATTATGAACTGTATTTACTGAAAGGTCAAGGTCTCTTTGAAACACGTTTGCTCTTCACAAGATGCATAAACCAAGAATTAACTATACAGAAGACAAGGGTCAACGCACCATCAAGAGTAACTTTTATCCACTCCTCTCTAATAATATGATACCAGATAGCTGGGTTAGATCAGCCTAGAAGTTATAAATCTCATCTGAAGAAGAAAGCTTTCCCTTTAGTTACAAATTCAAGATGCTTAAAGGTGAGAAATTGGGACAAAATGTTTTTATGTGAATGATATGAAACAAAATGTAGCTGCACAGTACTATATCAATATATATCATCAAGATACAGGGTTGGAAAAAATAACTTTTTCAGAGAAAAACCTTCCCTCCTATGTCATCTTATCCTAGATTTACATTTTAAGGAAAACACTGGTTTTAAAGTGGGAGGAATGAAGAAGCTTCATTTTTAGAGCATCTAGGCAACACCACACACACACACACTTCCATGGAGGCACAAACCTTCAGGCTGACTGATATGCAAATAGAAAGTAGCTACATGTGAACTGTGTGATTTTCACAGTAATTGCTAAAGGCATTTTGTAGTTGAGAACTTCAAAAGAATTGAGAAATCCTTTGTGTACCATTGATAATTATTACACAGTTTGTCATAACCATAATCTGTGGGACAGGGCCTTAAATTTGATGGGAGATCACATAAAAGATACCTTACTGATTGGTATTTTCATGATTTGAGAGTTTGGCTCAGCCCTCATACTGTTGGGCAGTAATGAGACAGTTCAAGCTTGCAAAATAAATGCAATTGAAAAGGCACTGACACAAGTTAGGTACCTGCCATATCTAGTATATGACAGCCTGATAAAGGCACTAGTAGAAGTGACCCTGATTTCTCCAAGTACTGAATTCTGCATGGGCAGAACTATCTACCTGATCATTACCATGGGATCCAAACTGCATCCTTCTGTTCACCTTGCATCAAGTAAAGCTTACCTAAAAATACAGTGAAGGAACAAACAAGGATGTGACTTCACACACAAATCTTTAATTACTGGGTAGAGTTTAATGCCAGAAGAGAAGTCTAATATCCCAGCTAGCATAATACAATATAGCACACCCAGAGAGCCCTACCATGAAGTCTAGTACTGCAGCTGCTATAACCCAATATATCATACCCAGACAGGCCTCTCTTCATCCAAAGAGAGTCAAGTGAAACCACTTCTCTCCTCAGATTACTGCTGTATATAGAGAACAGCAGAGATGCAGATACTACTAGGGCAAGAACATTTGCAATCTTAGACATATTCCCAAAGAAGAGGTTTTTCAGAAGCTTTGAAACACTGGGTAGGACATCTGGCAACACAGCACTGTGTAGCTCAGGAAGAGTAGAAAGTTACGAGTTGAAAGACATGGCCTCACTGCATGATTTCACCACAGGCAACCATAGTTCAGCCATCATTTAAGCTTCTGAATATCTGATTCCCTTATGTTCTGTTTACAGATTTTTATGTAAACAATATGTCAGTGGCTGCATGTTTAAATACACACACACACAATAGCTACAAGAGTTGTACTGTTTGTAAATCATGGCACCTCTACTCTTTATTTAGTCTTCTTACACACCTCACATGTTTTAATATATTCAATCTCATCAAAGAGCACTTGTACCATATTGATTTGTCTTTGTTTACTGATTCACCACAGATGCCTTGCCTTCCTTTTCTATGGAATGGGGGGACCCACAGTACTCAAGCCTAACATCCAGCTACATTTCCTTTATGTTGAAAGGCTAAGATTTAAGATGAGGTTCAGGGAAAATTAGTCTGTCATTACAAGCTTGGAGAAAGAAAAGATCACCCAAATGCCAGATCTGACCTGACCTTTAAATGTACTGCTCAAATAATACTTTTCAATGACTATGCTTCCCACTCTTTCCCTTGACAGTCAGGGATATGAATCAATTACTGCAGCAAGTCAGTTATGAGCTGGCCACCTTTCCTTCCAGACTCTGCTGAGAAAAAACAATTGAATTCCAACATCCAACATAAACCATCCATTTATTTGCACTGTTTTAGCAAAACAAAAAAGGAAGGAAAAAAGTTGTTGATACCCATACTGTATCTGTTAGAAAATGAACAAGCAGATCCCAGGACAGAAAAAATTACTTTCCATGTTTGCACACTTTTATTTTTCTGCTAGGAACACGGAAATGCAGCTACAAATATAATGTCTAGTGAGAATTTCTAATCTCACTTTGCATATAAATATCTTGTCAGATTTTTAAAAATCTCAGCACAAACTGTAATATACCTGAATTCCTGGGTTTCCATACAAACACGTAAGAAAAAGACATGGAAACATCCTTGAAATTCTGCATAGAGATAGGATTCAGATCTATTACAATTATATATTAGAAATAATTGGCTAAAGGACAATAAAATAAGATGCTGTATCAGGAGAAATACTGACTGAAAACCCATCTCAAAAAGTGGCAAACAGGCAGCTCTTTCACCTTGGTGGGTTTGAAAGTCTACATCTGTTCAAATCTTTACCCCCAGCTGGAATGTTGACTCCCTTTAGAAAAGCACATGGGAACGGATATTCCTGCTCAAAGCTCTGTGGTTGCTTCTCATAATTCACTCATCTGTCTCTCTTCAGGAGAAAACACGATTTATATGGCTTTAATCACTTTTATGCAGTTCAGTCAATGAAAACACTGTTCAAGCTGATTCGTGCTGCCTGCTTTGAGCTCAGAAATCCTGAGCCACAGGGCCTGCTGCTGCTTGGACTAATCCCTTATCTTCTGACACTGGGAGTCCCACTGGTAATGAAAGAAAAATGGTATTCCAGAGCAGAAAGCCCAGCAACAAGAGGGATTTTTCTCAGGAGAAAGAACCCAACTGCAGAACACTATCTAGTGAATGGTATGTGTAAATAAAACTCTGATGTCTGTGGCCTGCTCACTCTCACTTTGCTGATGTGGAGATGAACATTCTTCCCTCTCCTTTTCCCAGAGAGAAGCTGGAAGGTACAACAGCTGCAGTGCCCACGCAGTTCTTGTGAATTGTGCATGCACATCTCTGTACTGCCACAGCATTCATGGCTGGCTGCTGAAAAGAAATGTAACTTCTTCATTCTTCTGTTCCCCACATTAACAGTGGGAATAATATTAACTAGTAGGGATTGAAGGTGCTAAAAGCAATGAAGGCTGTGATGTGGTCAGAAATGACACTGCTCTGTGGCTTTGTTTGATTTTTTATGCAGATGTTTCTTATAGCCTCTGTCTGATTGGGTTTTGGCTTTTTTTTTTGGTTGCATTTTTTTGTGTGTGTGTTTTTGTGTGTTTTTTTTTTTTTTTTATTTGGCTTTGTTTTTTTTTTTAAAATTCTAATACAACAATGAGATTCTATTGTAGCAAAATGAGTCATTGCTTAGACAAATGTCTCCATTTTCCAGTCCTCATCACAATCCATTTCTGCAGCAATCAGAGATGACCTTATGGCCTATATGGAAAATATCACAGTCCTTATTGATGTCCCAAAGAATGTTTCACCACATAGTTCTAGACGGTTGCTCTTGTTCCTGTAAGACAATAAACTCTTCTTGAAGCTTTATTGTCATCCAGTAACAACTAAATAGGATTAATTTCTGGTGATACAAATACAAGGCAATGTTAATTCAGAAGCAACAAAACCTGAACACTCTGTGTGAAATAAAGG